TCTCTCAACCACGATAAAATAAAACAATTAATCATCCTCGAGGCTGATGAATGGAAAATCGATTTATCGATCGACCTGGAAGACTCATCACAGTTTCCGCCATCGGTTTCCGATCGAGTTCGATTTCAGAAGCGTAGAAAGCCGGTATAAGTACCGGTGACGCTCCAGAACACGTACACGCCGCACTTTTTATTTCAATGTCAGTCAGTGAGAAAAGAGATCGAAGGAATTCCAGATTACGATTGGAAGCGGCATTAGGGGCCTAATTAAATCGCATAAACAGAGCGTGCCTGTCCAATCCGTTCCACGAGGCCATACGTTTCTGCGTGGTTTGAGGCATCGTGGTCGCTGTTTGACGCCTAGAATTATTCAGATCGTTCCTGTACAATGACGAGAGAGAGAGAGAAAAAAAACGAAGATATTTCGACTTAATACATGCGTATAAATTAAGAGATGTTAATTCGATTAGAATGTTTACTATATAGAAGTTAATGATTGGTCATTTTCATCTAGTTGATGTGATTTGTGAGAAATTGAAAATTAATTATGGATTTTGATTTTGGAGTAAAGAAAAAATTATTTAAAAAAAAATAGAATGGATCAATTTAACTTCTTAATTAATTGATTGTTCGAAAATTACTAAAAAAAAATATTGTATCATTATCGAATACATATCACGTATTAAAATAATTTTTATCCATTTGATGAGCATTCGAAGTAATGGTCCTAATGCGAGCCAATTGTATCCTTTAAAGTCCATCGAACGAGAAAGGGTTTGGCAAAGGTCGAAGAAAACAGACGAGAGAAAATTAAAGTTCACAACAACGTGACCGATCCGTTGATTAAAAGCTTTTAACCCTCTCAATTGCGACTAGTTCCATTAATCCCTAGTTAATAGATCTTCTTGCGATATATTAAAAGATGATCATTGACATAATAGAAATAAATGATCATTTTGAAAATGATTCGATAAATTTAAGATTTTTTTTTTTTTTTTTTAA